CTGATCCGCGGGTCCGCGCTTTGTTTTTACGTCTTTGTGCAGAATCCGTGTTCCTGCTCTCATTTACTGTTTTAGCTGTTTGGTGGTTGTCAAACCTTTGTGAGGTTTAACCTGAGATTCTGGCATTTCGGGCTAAATAAATTTACATTAAAAAAATCGATTCATTAAAAAAAATCAATTCAGGATTTTAATGAATCGATAAATCGATTATCAAAACCCACCCCTACTTTATATGCAGTGCCCTTTGACCTCATAACATTGTTTGTATTATGGTATCAAAAGAGTTCAATTTTGGTCTCATCTGATCAGACTATATTCTCCCAGTATTTCACAGGCTTGTCTAAATGTTGTTCAGCAGACTTTAAAATCAACATGCTTTTTCTTCAGAAATTGAGTTTTGCGTGGTGAGCGTTCAAATAGGCGATGTTGGTTGAGCATTACTTATTATTTTCTTTAAAAAAAATCTTACCTGCTGATTCCAGATCTTTCTATAGGTCTCCACAAGTGCTCCTTGGCTCTTAGAAACTCTTCCGAATTCTTTTTACTCCTCTGTCTGAAATCTTGCAGGGAGGATCTGATCATGGCCGGTTTGTGGTAAAACGATGTTCTTTCCACTTCCACATTATGGCCCCAGCAGTGCTCACTGCAATTTTCAGTACTTTAGAAATTCCCCTGTGACCAATGCCATCACAATGTTTTCCAACAATAAGGTCGTTACAGCCTTATGAGAGCATAGTGGCTTCACCCATCATGAGATGTTTCTTGTGTGGATGGCCTGTCTGAACCAGATGATATTAATTTGCACTTCGTGACAGGATTGGTTTCTAATTTCTGACAGATTTCAGCTGGTGGCATTATTTTCCGTGCCTTTTTTGCAACTCCACTTTTTTGTGTTCAATACTTTTTCCTTGTGTCATTTCCCATTATTACACATAACTTGATTTATGGACATCTATGGTTTGATTTCTTTGCATGTGTGGATTGGATGGTTTGTTACTTACATTGGGTGAGAATTTCATGTCAATACCGCCTTTAAAAATATATTTACTTAGAAATGTGGTTTAGTTTTCCATATTTATTTTACCTGCTGTAATTACTCGACTTCATAATTTTACTGTTGTTTGTTATTATAAATCTGACCCATTTTGATGTGTTCTGTGTTACAGTGGTTGAAAGCCAGGATAATTATGGAGTGACTTACACTTCTACTCAGATCTGTGCTGTAAAAGGATCAACAGTGGACATAGGCTGCTCCTTCAAACACTCTTCAAGATATACGTATTTATGGAACACAGTTTGGTTCACCAAAGGAAATGATAATAACCCCGATGATCTGAAAACAGACCCAGCATATGCAGGTCGAGTGTCGTACAGTTCTGACTGGAAGAGCTACACTCTGACAATCAGAGACCTGAGAGAGAGCGACTCAGCTGTGTACAAGTTCAGGTTTGAAACAGACTGGAAATATTTTACTGGTTTACCTGGAGTCACTCTGACTGTCACAGGTAACATTTTTATTTACACATCAGTCAAAACCTATTATTACCATGACTGTGTGCATTTGCATTATTGATAATGGATGTCTACGTTTCTGCTCTGATTTTATTTCTTCACATAATCAGTTCTTCAGGTACACGTGGACACATCATCATATCCTGACTCAGCAACACTGACTTGTCGGGGCAGTTGTCGACTAAATAATCATCTCTTCTATGCCTGGTACAAAAATGGTCAGAAAATTTCTAATCAGTCAGACCAGTACTGGTATACAGACAATCTGAATCCTTCAGATAGCTACTCCTGTGCTGTAACAGGTCATGAAGATTTCTCCTCTCCTTCAGTGTGTGAGTTTATTTCAGTTACATAAAACCATCTCATAGAGTCATTACATACATCTGAACAAAAACAGTCAAACTCACAGTAACTACTTTCTAAATCTGACTTAAAAATCATTTTATGTTTCAGGTGTCCGAGATGATTCATGCAACAGAGTGAATTACAGCAACAGAAGAATCTGTGCAGTCAAAGGCTCATCAGTGGACATTTCTTCTACTTACAACAGTTATGAAAGTTCAATCCAGTCAACATCCTGGTTCCGTTCTGGTCGTGGATCTGATGACCTCAGAGAAGACTCCCAGTATGCAGGTCATGTTGAGGTGACTGAAAGCGAGAGAGGACGCTCCACTCTGAGAATCAGAGACCTGACAGAGAGTGATTCAGCCGAGTATCACTTCAAATTCAAAACACAAAGCTTTGAATGGGGGAGTAGTTTACCTGGAACAACTCTGACTGTCACAGGTACTGATCAACACACACTGATGGATATTTAATCAATTTTTATTTGCATGTTCTCCCATACCTTTTAATAATAGTTTGAATGGTTTCGGGTCTAAAGATGGAGAGAATTAATACTTTGTTTCTAATTAATTTTATCACTTCTGTGAATTTTACTAATGTCTCCCTCAGTGTGAGAGTGACTGACATCTTATTTATTGTTTCTTGTCCACTGTTCAAGATGTTCAGGTCAGTGTGTCGACTAGACAACAGTTGGATTGTGTCACCAGATGTGATCCTTATGTTTCATCTTATGTCTGGTACAAAAATGGACAACAAGTGAATGGAGCCAGCTCTTCTTCTTATGAAGCTCAATATGACACTTCATACAGCTACTCATATCAAATGTCATATGGCAATAAAAACAGCTACTCATGTGCTTTAAAAGGATTTGAGGATTTTCACTCTCCATTAGTTTGTGAGTTCACTTTGAGGTTTTACCTGAATAAAAACTTAATCTAGGTGATAATTAATGTCATGTTCTGTCAATAAATTTGGTTTTAAAAAAATTTTTAATTGTAATTTTTCAGGTATATATGTTGAACGGTGCAACAAAGTGAATTACAGTAACAGAAGAATCTGTGCATTCAAAGGATCATCAGTGGACATTTCATGTACTTACAACAGTTATGAAAGTTCAATCCAATCAAAGTCCTGGTTCCGTTCTGGTCGTGGATCTGAGGATCTCACAGAAGACTCCCAGTATGCAGGTCGTGTTGAGGTGACTGAAACAGAGAGAGGACGCTCCACTCTGAGAATCAGAGACCTGACAGAGAGTGATTCAGCCGAGTATCACTTCAAATTCAAAACACAAAGATTTGAATGGAAGAGTAGTTTACCTGGAACAACTCTGACTGTCACAGGTACTGATGAATACACACTGATGGATATTTCATTCAGTTAAGTCATTTAATTAATATTTTTGTTATTTCACACAGCTCTGCAGGTGAAGGTGAGCAGAATAATATCAGTCCATGAGTCTCAGACTGAGGCAGAGCTGAAGTGTGAAAGCAGCTGCAGTCCAGCTGGTCGTCTTTCTTTTGTCTGGTTCAAAAACAATCAGTTTATGGTTGAACGACGTTCTTATCAAGATCTGTTCAGTCCTGGAGACATCATCTCCTGTGCTTTCAAAGGACACGAAGGTTATCGCTCAGATCCTGTGTGTAAGTTTACTTCATTGCGTTATGTGGTCATCATCCCAAATAAGTTGGGATGATGTCCCAAATAACATCTACACCCTTTTTTTTCACCAAACTGTTGGTTCAGATATTCAGCATAACTTACAATACTATACAATAATCTAAATTGTGTGAGTGTGTTACAGTACAAAGAGTTTAAAGGTGAGTGCAGCCAGGTTCATGAATCAGAAACATTTATTGACTTAGAGTAAGTTCAAAAAGAACAGTCAATGTGATGAACAATGGTTTGACCATGTAAATAAATAAATAAATAAATAAATTTTTATTTATATAGCACCTTTCAAGACAGAATCACAAAGTGCTGCACACATAAAAAGATTTAAAAAGAGAAAATAAAACAGGCAAAAAATTAACCAAAAGCAGTTTTAAAAAGGTAAGTTTTGAGTTGTTTTTTAAAAACAGCTACTGAGTCCACAGTTCTTAATGCTTGGGGGAGAGAGTTCCACAGTCTCGGGGCCACAGTGGCAAAAGCTCTGATCACCCTTAGTCCTCCTCTTAGTATTTTTTATAGCAAGTAAGCCCTGATCAGATGACCTCAAAGACCTGCTAGGGACATCGGGCTGTAGCAGATCAAAGATGTAGGCAGGTGCCAGTCCGTGCACAGCTCTGTAGGTCAAGACCAGGATCTTAAAATCGACTCTAAATTTAACAGGAAGCCAGTGTAACTGAGATAATAACGGTGTCACATGTGAGTACTTGGAGGATTTTGTCAAAAGCCTAGCTGCAGCGTTTTGCACAACCTGCAGACGATCCAGAGAACCTTTGCTTAGACACATAAACAGCGAATTACAATAATCCAAGCGTGACGAAATAAATGCATGTATAGCAATCTCGAGTTCAGAGCGAGATAAAACCGGGCTTAGCCTAGCCACATTTCTCAAATGATAAAAACAAGACGAACCAGAGATTTCACATGCCCATCCAATGTGAGACTCGAGTCAAAGGTGACACCTAAATTCCTGATAGAGGATTTAACATAAAGTGAGAGAGGACCAAGGGCTTTCACTATCTGCGATAGAAACCTATCAGGGGCGCATACGAGGACTTCGGTTTTCCCCTCGTTGAGTTGGAGGAAATTTGCAGCCATCCAACGTTTGATCAAATCTAAGCAATCATTCAGACGCTGAAGCTTAGATAAATCCTCGGGCATAAAAGAAACGTACAACTGAATATCATCAGCAAAATAGTGATAAGAAATGTCCTCAAAAGAGCCAATTATATGCTGGAGGGGGAGAAGATAAATTCAAAACAATAAAGGCCCCAAAACTGACCCTTGAGGGACACCATAAGTAAGGGAGGTAGAGGATGACCTAAAATCGGAGACTGCCACAGAAAAGGATCGGTGATGGAGATAAGAGGAGAACCACTCTAATGCAGTTCCAGATACACCAACCCATTTTTTCAGCCTTTCAATGAGGATGTGATGGTCAACTGTGTCGAAAGCTGATGTGAGGTCCAACATGAGTAGAACAGAGCATTTTCCTGCATCATTATTCATCAAGATATCCCTTGAGACTCTAAGAAGAGCTGTCTCCGTGGAGTGAAATTGACGAAAACCGGACTGAAACTTATCGTAAATGCCATGTTTGTCCAGAGCTGCCATAAGCTGCTTAGCCACAACCTTATCTAGAAGTTTAGCAATTAACAGTAACTTAGAGATAGGTCTGTAGCTGCTCCAAAGAGAGGAGTCAAGCTGAGGGTTTTTTAAAAGTGGGAGAATAGCAGCGTTTTTAAAATAAACCGGAACTATACCAGATGCCAGTGAAGAGTTGATTAAAGTGAGCACACATGGGCCAATAGACTGGAAGACATTTTTGAATAATGATGCAGGTATAATGTCAAGTGAACAGGAGGATTCACTGAATTCACTAATTTCACTAGCTCAAGTAGTGAAACCGGAGAGAAAGTATCCAAGATAATGGGCCGGGATGGAGTAGAGATTGAGATAACAGGTGAATGTGTAAAAATCATTCTCACGTTATGAATTTTTGCAAGCAGAAAAGACAGAAAATTTTCACAGTCCTCGTTAGAAAATATAGGGGCCGCAGGCAGAGCAGGAGTAACAATGTCACTAATGGTGTTGAAAAGCACCTTAGGATTGCCTCTGCTCTTTGTAACCAAGTGTGAGAAATGGGCAGCCCTCGCATCTCTGATCGCATTATTAAAAGAAGCTAAAAGGTCCTTAAGATAGAGGAGGTGAACATTTAGATGAGTTTTCCTCCACCTACGCTCCGGTTTACGACAATCACGTTTTAGACAACGAATACTGTCATTTAGCCAAGGAGGAGATTTAGAGGCAGAAACACTCCTCATCTTAACTGGACAAATTTCATCTAAAATAGAAAGGCAATAATTATTAAAAAGACTGGTTGAGAAATCAACCCCATTTTGAGGAGATAGCTGTAAGTTAAAAGCATCCACAAATTTGTAAATATTGTAAAACTTTTCTTCTGTCATTTAATGGTCGGGCATTGTACAGCTACAAGCATTTCACCCCCATGTCATACTGTGTATGGTTGTGTGTGTGTGACAAATCAAATTTGAATTTGGAATTTGAATTTGAAATTTCTCTGCTGTGGAGGAGTTTAAGATGTGAGAGCTAACCATCCGTCTGACCGGGGACAAAGGCTCATTAAAAGACAAGTTAAAAACAATAACATAGTGATCAGAAATAAAAATGTCCTCAGAGCAAATAAAATCAATATTTAAACCCAAAGTAAAAACAAGGTCCAGTGTGTGACCTTTGCTGTGTGTAGGACCGGACACATGCTGAGTCAAATGAAAAGAATCCATAATGTTCATAAAGTCTCTGGCGAATGGGTCGGAGTCATCATCAACGTGTATGTTAAAGTCCCCAACTATAAGCACCCTAGACAGCGTCATAGTAGCAGATAAGAAGTCAATGAGCTCCGATAAAAATAACCTGTTATATCCAGGTGGACGATACACCACAGCACAGTAGAAAGGATCCTTGTTACCAATTTTAAGCAGCTGCAGTTTAAACGAGTGAAAAAGTCCAGTTTTCATGGAGCGGCAGGAGAAACGGTCCTGGAAAGCCACGGCAAGCCCACCACCCCGACCAGACAAGTATAGCCATCCGGGCAGAGTTCAATAAGTGACGAGTAGTCTACATCCCGCTGCCAGGTCTCAGTCAGGAATAAAAAATCTAGTTTTTTAGATAATATAAAATCATTCAACAAGAGTGATTTATTAGAGAGAGATTGAGCGTTAAAAAGTGCCATATTCAGTGAGCTAGAAGCCTCATTATTTGCAGAGGCTCGAGTTAAGGGACGTAAATACACAGGGTTCGAGCTGTCACGCTCGTAGAATCCACTCACCGAGGGAAGAAAAAGCCAGCCCGCAGAAGAGTCTGGATAAACCCTCCTGAGGTGGCACGGTCTCAAAGAGCCGGGCCCAGCGTATCCAAACAAGGCCGTGGAAAACAAGTCCCCCTCCATGGAGCTTTTCTGGACACAGGAGACAACGCACGCTCGACGTCGCTTACCAGACAAACCACGCCGCCAGTACATCCTGAGCTTTACCTGAATACCTCCTCTTCTCCCTCTCCTTCTCCGTGGTCTAGAGGGACCACTGAAATCACCTGATGAGGATCCAGCTAATGGAGGAGGGTGGA